GTTTGGAATCCATCTATCCATTACTTAGCTAGTAATTGGATTTTTTAAAAAGAAAATTTAATACTAGTGTTTATATGATATTAGTTTATTTAATACGTTTTTTATTAAAAATAAAATTTATAAAACAATAAACTAGTTCAATCCGAACGGATTCGGATTGAACTTATGTCAAAAATCGAACCTATCAATAGGACTAAGTAGAGCTAAAAGAGTTTTCCATGAGATATATAAAAATTCAAACTATTAGCTCGAAGTTAGTTTATGAACCAGTGATTGTCTGAGATGGATTGTTTCGTATTAAACTCAAAAAAACGAGAAATTGAAAATCCTTCTCAGTTCTTCTCACCATTGGTGTTTTGGCATAAGAAATAATTCATAGCTTGTCATTTCCACGCCAAAGCACGAATCAAATTGTTGATTAAGGAAGTTTAGAAACTTTCAAAAGCCAAAAAAAGAAACCTCATTCCGGATACTAAACTTGTGAACCCCATTTCTCTCTACTTTTATCACTATATCTCACATTTAACTGAAACAATCTTCTTAGATCCTATGCCCAAAATAATTCTACGAAAGCTAGCGATAATAAGCCATATGTCTGGAAGACGAGAAAGGAGACGAACCAAAAGGAGAAACGTTCTTCTGCGTGTTGGATGGAGGGAGAATTGGGTTCTTCTTCTTCTTCTTCTTCTCGAGTTTGGTTTCAGCACGCAGCCAAGTCTCAACCACAGAAAGCAAATTGGCACAATGCTTCAACTCATCAACTTCAGACAGCTTCTCTGACTTTCTTAGCTCACCATCTTGAATATATGCCAGATGAGTTGCCCATGTCTCCAGTCCATCAAATATGTGAGTTGCATATACAATAGTAGCTCCTCTCTGTCCAAAAAAACAGTCAGTTCATCAATTAATCTCAGCCATTTCAAGGGTAATCTTCTTTGAGAGTTCGGTAGTTTTATCAACATCAATATCGAACACTATATATTTATTTATTTTTGACGATATGACATTACAATGGTGGAGGTGGAGGTTTAAACTTTCAACCCGATTTCAGAACCTCAAAGCCAATGAAAATATTGATATCGTGAACAGTCAATACCATCATCTTAATTTCCAACCCAGAATGAAATTCAGGAATTGTAAGATTACTAGATAGCAGAACAACATCTTATATTCTGGATGATATTGCTATTTACACGAAATTCATGTCATGGGGCATAATTTAGCACATACAATTGCATGTAGTATTGAAAAGTATTCAATACCTGATCACACTCTTCCTTTAAGAAGTCCAGAAGGTCCATCCTCGCAACGACATCAAGGTCAACTGTGACCTCATCTAGCAAGAGAACCTGACAAATCAAAAACATTAATTGAAAAATCAGCAGGCAATGAAGCTGTTGCGATATTTCGGCAAACGTCAAATATAGAACAGGACTTGGTCCAATACAGAAATGCTTTATGGGAAATTTAAAATCAATGGTCCAGAAATTAGACATAGTGAACGGATGGGCTCAATTATCAGAGTACACATAATAGCAACTCAGTCATCCCCAGTAAGCGAAAAGTCGTCCATATTTAATACCTTGAAAGGATGTAAGAGGCCCATGCAGATTTGCACCCGACGACGTTGCCCATCAGATACCTTATGCATTCGCCATTGGAGATCTATATCAAGGAGGTCGATCAACCTATCTCTCCTTTCAGGATCCGTTCCTTCAACTATCAACATAAATAAAGGGCATTAATTTGTACAGCTTTGCAGCCAATAAAAGGAAATATTGTATACATCTTATTGAAATTGAACCAAGTACGTGAAGATTTAATTACAGAATGCAAAGAGGATTAAAGCAATGCAGGATAGTATTAGTGGCTCAAAGAAGGAACCCGAAAGAGTTTATCAGCATTTTCATTTCTTCCCTCGAGCATGTTACTTAGCTTACACTCTCTGAACATGGTGGATCTCAGGAGGAGATTAATAGGGTTTCTTATGGGGTTCATCTTCATATTAGTCATAAATAGTGAGTACGCTAGAAAGGATTTTCGAGGGTGAAGGTTGTTATAGATAAAGTATTCCAAGTAGCTCAGAATAGAAGAGCAGGGGAGGTTTCTTACCCCCATCTTTTGTGCTCTATCCTTTATTGAGACAAATATCAATTTGCTTCCTATTATGTATCCTAAGCAACCCCTAACTAGAGGAGGAAAAGAAAAATCTAGTCCCCACATGAGGATAGGAAATATAATAAAAGGTCACAGTTATAATGCCCCCACACAGCAAATATAATATATTTGAACATAGCCCACCTCCAAATATCATATGTTCAGCAGAAAAGTCCCCCTGTAATGCAACCTCGCCCTGAGTGTTCAGAAAAGGATATATTCAGCATTAGAAAGTTCATCCATTTTCTTTTAAGAGAACCAAATTAAAGGTAATCAGTTACTGTTCAGGGTTAAGAAAAAGAAAACGATCAATGATAACATGTTACAGCCTAATCAATGTCGACGAAAACTATATTTAGTTGGAAATCAACCACCACGGAAGTAAAGGCCGTTACATCATGAACCACTGAGAATTCTGAAACAATCCTATAGGAAATCAACTGAAATTTGTAAAGTGAAAGTCAGCCACCACTAAAGTAAAGACCGTTACATCATGAACCACTGAGAATTCTGAAACAATCAAACTATAGGAAATCAACTGAAATTTGTAAAGTGAAGAGCAGGATTTTGTCTTAGTAATGCACCAAAGATTGAGACAATCAGAGAAAATTTATGTCCATACTTCTCATATACTTGTTTCATATAAAGACATGGACAACGCTATCTATGCAAGACGATTAGGAGTATATAAAACAATAGAGCAGCTAATTGCTTAAACAAGAAGTGCAAGTTAAGTACTCACTGCAGAGCTAACGGTTTTACTCCAAGATCCTCCCAAGTAGGCTAAATCACCACTACATACGAGGTGAGTGTCATGAAAAGCTGAACTATTTAGAACCCGAACCACATCTCTCCCTCCAACCATATGTTTTCCAGCCAAAATTTTCAGCAAAGTAGTCTTCCCTGCACAAAAGTGGATAACATGTATCAATGTCACTAAAGGTCTGCCATGGGGACCATTACCTTTTCTTCATTATTTGAATCTACCTTCCCACAGCGCAAGGGCGTAGCCAGAAATTTTTGTAAGGGCAAAATTTAGTGTCCTTATATAATTTTCTTAATCTAAGACAAGCTCAAATGGTTAATTACGCACGGGAGATTTCCTATGATCAATAATAGAAACGAGCAAGAATGGGTTCCAGAGAGATTCGCATATCAGGAGCATTTTAATGGGTTAGTAATCGCACATTATTCAAGAAACAAAGGCGGGTGCAAATTTTTTTCATGATTTCGTACTTCACTTCCTCGTCGAATTCATATTTTAACCTAAAATTCTTACACTAAACCAAACGAAAAAGAAAGAGAGAAAATAGACACGATTCGAGTACCAGATCCATTAGCGCCAACGAGAAGACAACGAGATCCAGAGCCAATCTCGAGATTAAACTCCACGAAAAGAGGCGAATCAATTTCGTAAGAAAATTGCATCGCTTGCACCTTGATGCCGGTAGAACTCTTTTCATCTACATCTTCACAACCCTCTTTCCCGCGGAACGAAATTTCCTTGTCAGCCATTTCTGTAGAACAAAATTGAGAAAGATGAAGAATTACCCAGGGAATTTATACACCCTTGTGAGCAATTAGAAGGCAATGCGCATCAAAAAGTTCGGTGGGTGATTCTTCAAAAGTAGCGAACGTGGTGGTTGTTGGCGGGTTGGAAAGGGAGTGAAGTTGAGGCTAGGATTTGACGCGCCATTGGATCTAAACGTGGCATACGCTACGATCAGAGAAGCTGGAATTTCATCGCAATCGCATTGAATTTGGTCTATGTATTGCATTCGCGGGAAATTGAGCGCACCGCCTTCTTAGTTGCAATGGAAGACAAGAAAGTACGCTAAAATTGTTTCATCTCCTAATTTCTTAGGATCATATTTTTATAATTGGTTCGTGTGAATTTTTTTAATACTCTTTTTAAATTTCAAATTCATTTTTAAAATAATTTTAAAATATATATTATAGTAATATTTTTTTTAAAATTTTTTTTAATAATACTCTTCAATTAAAAAATATTTCAAAAATATCCTCAAAATTTAATACCTCTTACCTTTATTAAAAAAAAATCAATTTTATTTATTTATTCATGTCTACCCTTCGTAGAAAAGTTCATGAGTATTTTTAAAAAGTTACTACGTAAAAAATTTTAAAATATTTTTAAATTTTTTAAAAATAGTTAAGAGTATTAATGAAACTCTTATAAAAACATAATGATATTTTTAAAGAGTAAATATATTTTTTTAAAAAAAATTAAGTTAAAAGAATATTATTGAAACTTTTTAAACACAAATACGTGCATTCCAATTCATAAAAAAAAAATAATAAATAAATAAAATAACACAAAAAAAAAAAAGTAAAACATTTAACCAAAACTCTTTCAATACACAAACACTACAATTCAACAAGAAAACAATAAACATTTTTTTTTTTTTTTTTTTTTTTTTTTT